ACACATGCAAATCTATTAATATAATTCACCACATAAACAGAAGTAAAAACAAAGACCATATAATCCTTTCAACAGATGCAGAGAAAGCATTTGACAAAATTCAGCACCCTTTTACGATAAGAACACTTAACAAAATAAGCAAGGACAGGGATTACCTCAAAAATCCATATACAACAAACCCACAACCAACGTCATACTGAACAGGACAAAACTGAAAACCTTCCCACTTAGAATTGGAACCAGACAAGGCTGCCCACTGTCACTTCTATTCACATAGTTTTATAAGTCCAAGCCAGAGAAATCAGACAAGAGAAGGAAATCTAGGGTATTCAAATGGGAAGAGGTCAAACTATCACTGTTTGCTGATGATATAATCCGATATCCAGAAAACCCCAAAGATTCTTACAACAGACTCCTACAATCAATAAATAAATTCAGCAAACTCTCAGTAGAATTAACATATGCCAACAACAGTCAAGCTGAGAACCAAATTACTCTATACTCTTCATAACAGCAACAAAGAAAATAAAATACTTAGGAATATATTTAACTAAGGAGGTGAAAGCTCTGTGCAGGGAGAATTCTGAAATGCTACAAAAGGCAACAGCGGAGGCTATAGAAGGTGGAAAGCCTTACCATGTTCATGGACTGGCAGATGGACTGGTAAAATGTCTATACTACCCAAAGCAATCTACAGATTCCATGCAATCCCTGTTAAAATACCAATGTCACTTCTCACAGAGCTAGAAAAAGATAATTCTACATTTCATATGGACCCAGAAAAGAACCCGAATAGCCAAAGCAATCTTAAGCAAAAGAACACACTGGGAAGCATCACTTTACCCGACTTCAAGCTCCAAGACCACAGTGACCAAAGCAGCATGATACTGGCACAGACCAGCGGATGAGAGCAGAAAACCCAGATATGATAAAACCATCCTCATACTGCCATCTGATATTTGACAAAGCAAACAGAATCCTACATTAGAGAAAAGAATCCCTAATCAATAAATGGTCCTGGGAAAACCAGACAGCCACATGCAGAAGACTGAAACAGTACCTGCACTTCTTCATGCTCACAAAAATTAACTCAGAATGGAGAACTGAACTAAACTTAAGACATGAAACCGTGAGATTTCTAGAAGTGAAGAATTTATGAAGAAGACCCCAAAGGCCATCACAGCAACAACAAACACAAATGGATTTGATCAGGTTAAAAAGCTTCTGTGCAGCTAAAGAAACATTAGAGCGAACAGACAACCTACAGAATAGGGGAAAATATTTGCATGCTATACATCCAATAAAGGACTGATAACCAGAATCTACAAAGAACTCAAGCTAATCAGCAAGAAAAAAACCAAACAACCCCTT